GGTGTCTGCATTTTATCTGAGATCTTCGTGTGCTTGGCACCTATCTAGGGTTAGTACATGTGTGGAACAGATTTACACTAAAGTAGTGCCATATGACAAATGGAACTTAAGAGTGTGATGACAGTAAATACTGGCCCATTCATTCAGTCACTTAAGACCTCAGTGATCACTTTACCACATCACACTGATAGGAGATCCTTTGAGGCCCGCATTTCATGTTTATTTTAAGCTTAGAATTGGAGAGACCCTTGGTTTCCTAAATTTCTCAGTGAATTTGAAGACAAGGGGTCATCTCACAAATTTCTAGTATAAATTGATTCCCACCCAACCCCCACCATTAGAATAACAATTATAGATTCTGATATGAAAACTCTAAAAAGACTTGTTGCAACTAACAAACCATTTTATTCACCATCTCTGAAGCACAAGCACAGTTTTCCTTTCTGTTGAAATGTGCTTGGTTTATAAAGTATAATGGATTCACATTGTTCAGCCTTTGAACGGTGAAAACTGCCAAGTGTTTCTCTACAGCACACTTGCCCTCAGCACTGCTGAGCCCTTTGACTCAGCATCAGAGATACAATTGCTTAAGCTTGTTTTTCTGGTTTATTAATGCAGCAAAATTAGATAAGCAGTCTATCAGAATTGACACAGAATAGTTGCATGAGGGAGGAGGCAGCCAAGGCTACAGAGTCAGTAAATATAAAGTTACTCCTAATGAGCTAGAGCTTAGCACTTTTCCAGGACTCCTTAAAGAAATTTCTCTATTTCTGTTTCTTAAATTAGGCATGTTGCGGTGATTGTTCATAATGATCCTCAATCATCAAATGTAAAATTACATTTAGAATACAATTTAATAAAGAAGAGTTGGGCCATATTTTTAAATAAAAAATGATTACAATAGTAAGTTTCTATAAAGGTTAATTTGAGGGCTTAGGAACATTCCTTTATGGTAGTCCTTTCTAACTTGGATACCATGGATTTGCTTCAGGTGTCCATGAACTTCTAAAAATTGTGTGCAAAAGGAGAAAGACAAGTACCAAATGATTTCCCTCATTTGTGGAGTGTAACAACAAAGCAAAACTGAAGGAACAAAATGGCAGCAGACTCACAGACTCCAAGAAGGGACTGGGGAGGGTGGAACAGGAGGGAGGGAGAAGGGGATTAAGGAGCGCTATAATTCGCAATCACAATTACAGGTAGGTCACAGGAAAGGCAGTACAGCATGAAGAAGACAAATAATGACTCTACAGCATTTTACTATGCTGATGGACAGTGATTGCAATGGAGTGGAGTGGTGGACTTGATAATATGGGTGAATGTTGAAACCACAATTCCATGTGAAACCTTCATAAGATTGTATATCAATGATACCTTAATTTTAAAAAATTGTGTGAAAAAAATTCATGCATGTTCTCCCTTTTCCATGGGAGCATGGAGGAGGGAGACTCCGTATCTGTCAATAGGTTCTCAAAGAGGATTGAACCGAAAAAGGTTAAGAACTAATGAACACTTCAACCCAAGGCAAAGAAGGGTGTAGCTTTAAGCTTGGGGACAGGATAGTAATGCTTGGCGTACAAAACTGGTTATCAAGTGTGATTAAATTTAGGTCTGTGATAAATCTAGAAGCCCCTTAGCACATACACTCCCTCTTCTAAGCTCCCTCTTTTCTCTTAAAATACTACTACTGGTCTTCACTCTCTATAGTGCCACAGCAAAGTAAAGTTAGCCACAAAGTTGGAGGTATCTTGAGGCTGACCTCTGCTTTATCTCTTCTGGGCAGGCTAAACCAGTTTCTAAGCCCTACAGTTAAAAATAGCCCATTCTCCAGCCAGCCAGAAAATAACAGCTGCCTTAGTTACCACAAGTCTTCAAAGTGGGAATGGATTCAACTCTCTTCTTACCACTTGAGCAAAACTCTGGGGGTTGTGAAACCATTTATTTAACTTTTGGAGTGAATGGAGGCCTCAAGAGGGAAAGAGCCAGTAATATACGGCTGTGGCATTATTTGTGAAATGTATATAAATTTACTTAATCCCTGGTACACAATTTTGATATCTTCACTTTTCATTTCATTATAATCACCCAGATCAACTTACTGTTATTTGTCCTAGATCAAAAACTGCCATTTTTGCATATTTCTGACTTTAAGAGATCTTTAAGCAAAAAATTATATAAACATACATTACAGAAAGTAAATGAAAAGAACCTTCCTTCCCTGCAGAATTTCCCAGTTCAATTCCCTAGAGATCCAGTGGATATTTTTTGTTTCTTTTCAGAAAATATGTATGCCCTTTGGAAAACACACAAATGAGGTCACAGTATATGTACTAGTCATCTTTCCACAGCCTTGCAAATAATCCCCTTATTCTTTTCACTGGCTGCAGAGTATTAACTGTATGACTTACTTATGAATCGTCACATAAGGTATTTAGATAAGTTTCTCTGGGGGCTGGTCCCCTCAGCGTGCTCAGGTGGCCATCCCCATGCACATCATGGCCTGCAGTGTGAGTTACCTCCAAAGTAAATTGCCAGTAGTGGAATCACTGCTCCACAGATAAGTGCTTTTAAAGTTTATACTTCCACCAGCAGTGTTGAGAGTACCTGTCTTCCCCCATCCTCACTGACACTGGGTTTTTTAAACTTCAGTTTTTGCCATCTTAGGAGGTAAAATGTTTTATGGCTTTGATTTCTTTTATTATGAATTAAGAATAGCATTTATTTTGAAATAAATACTTGTTGATTTTGATGTTAATAATCCATTTGTTTGATCATTTAAGCACTTTGTGTCCCAGTGCTTACAGTTTTGTTATTTTCTCTAGAAAGTCATCTTCCTGAATTGTATAATTAGTAAAATACTTTTTGGGGGAGATCAAGTTTTCTTCACTTATTTTTTTTTTTTAATCTTTGGTTACCTTGGGTTGAACTATTATTTCAGTTGATTCCTCCACCTCTGAACTTTGACAAGATCTTCTGCAATAGTTCTAATCATTTGATCAGTAGTTTGTTTCAAATTGGTTGCTGTCTTTAGGGGATGATCCAAAGACGAGTTTAAAATCTACAGAGAGAAAGTCCACACATTTTAGATCAACTTAATATCAGAATTGACACAGAATAGTTGCATGAGGGAGGAGGCAGCCAAGGCTACAGAGTCAGTAAATATAAAGTTACTCCTAATGAGCTAGAGCTTAGCACTTTTCCAGGACTCCTTAAAGAAATTTCTCTATTTCTGTTTCTTAAATTAGGCATGTTGCGGTGATTGTTCATAATGATCCTCAATCATCAAATGTAAAATTACATTTAGAATACAATTTAATAAAGAAGAGTTGGGCCATATTTTTAAATAAAAAATGATTACAATAGTAAGTTTCTATAAAGGTTAATTTGAGGGCTTAGGAACATTCCTTTATGGTAGTCCTTTCTAACTTGGATACCATGGATTTGCTTCAGGTGTCCATGAACTTCTAAAAATTGTGTGCAAAAGGAGAAAGACAAGTACCAAATGATTTCCCTCATTTGTGGAGTGTAACAACAAAGCAAAACTGAAGGAACAAAATGGCAGCAGACTCACAGACTCCAAGAAGGGACTGGGGAGGGTGGAACAGGAGGGAGGGAGAAGGGGATTAAGGAGCGCTATAATTCGCAATCACAATTACAGGTAGGTCACAGGAAAGGCAGTACAGCATGAAGAAGACAAATAATGACTCTACAGCATTTTACTATGCTGATGGACAGTGATTGCAATGGAGTGGAGTGGTGGACTTGATAATATGGGTGAATGTTGAAACCACAATTCCATGTGAAACCTTCATAAGATTGTATATCAATGATACCTTAATTTTAAAAAATTGTGTGAAAAAAATTCATGCATGTTCTCCCTTTTCCATGGGAGCATGGAGGAGGGAGACTCCGTATCTGTCAATAGGTTCTCAAAGAGGATTGAACCGAAAAAGGTTAAGAACTAATGAACACTTCAACCCAAGGCAAAGAAGGGTGTAGCTTTAAGCTTGGGGACAGGATAGTAATGCTTGGCGTACAAAACTGGTTATCAAGTGTGATTAAATTTAGGTCTGTGATAAATCTAGAAGCCCCTTAGCACATACACTCCCTCTTCTAAGCTCCCTCTTTTCTCTTAAAATACTACTACTGGTCTTCACTCTCTATAGTGCCACAGCAAAGTAAAGTTAGCCACAAAGTTGGAGGTATCTTGAGGCTGACCTCTGCTTTATCTCTTCTGGGCAGGCTAAACCAGTTTCTAAGCCCTACAGTTAAAAATAGCCCATTCTCCAGCCAGCCAGAAAATAACAGCTGCCTTAGTTACCACAAGTCTTCAAAGTGGGAATGGATTCAACTCTCTTCTTACCACTTGAGCAAAACTCTGGGGGTTGTGAAACCATTTATTTAACTTTTGGAGTGAATGGAGGCCTCAAGAGGGAAAGAGCCAGTAATATACGGCTGTGGCATTATTTGTGAAATGTATATAAATTTACTTAATCCCTGGTACACAATTTTGATATCTTCACTTTTCATTTCATTATAATCACCCAGATCAACTTACTGTTATTTGTCCTAGATCAAAAACTGCCATTTTTGCATATTTCTGACTTTAAGAGATCTTTAAGCAAAAAATTATATAAACATACATTACAGAAAGTAAATGAAAAGAACCTTCCTTCCCTGCAGAATTTCCCAGTTCAATTCCCTAGAGATCCAGTGGATATTTTTTGTTTCTTTTCAGAAAATATGTATGCCCTTTGGAAAACACACAAATGAGGTCACAGTATATGTACTAGTCATCTTTCCACAGCCTTGCAAATAATCCCCTTATTCTTTTCACTGGCTGCAGAGTATTAACTGTATGACTTACTTATGAATCGTCACATAAGGTATTTAGATAAGTTTCTCTGGGGGCTGGTCCCCTCAGCGTGCTCAGGTGGCCATCCCCATGCACATCATGGCCTGCAGTGTGAGTTACCTCCAAAGTAAATTGCCAGTAGTGGAATCACTGCTCCACAGATAAGTGCTTTTAAAGTTTATACTTCCACCAGCAGTGTTGAGAGTACCTGTCTTCCCCCATCCTCACTGACACTGGGTTTTTTAAACTTCAGTTTTTGCCATCTTAGGAGGTAAAATGTTTTATGGCTTTGATTTCTTTTATTATGAATTAAGAATAGCATTTATTTTGAAATAAATACTTGTTGATTTTGATGTTAATAATCCATTTGTTTGATCATTTAAGCACTTTGTGTCCCAGTGCTTACAGTTTTGTTATTTTCTCTAGAAAGTCATCTTCCTGAATTGTATAATTAGTAAAATACTTTTTGGGGGAGATCAAGTTTTCTTCACTTATTTTTTTTTTTTAATCTTTGGTTACCTTGGGTTGAACTATTATTTCAGTTGATTCCTCCACCTCTGAACTTTGACAAGATCTTCTGCAATAGTTCTAATCATTTGATCAGTAGTTTGTTTCAAATTGGTTGCTGTCTTTAGGGGATGATCCAAAGACGAGTTTAAAATCTACAGAGAGAAAGTCCACACATTTTAGATCAACTTACTATTTGTTAATGGGGTTCTCTCATTATTAAATATTGGAAGGCGGGATTTGTGGAATATTCTCATTTCCACCCAGTCTATTTCTGTTTTTGAAGGTTGGTTTCCTAGGAAACCAGTCTGAGATGGAATGTATTTTTTTAGGGAAAGGGGCAGAAAAAAGACCAACGCGTGACTGATGAGCATGAATCAGAGGGTGAGGTCAGCAACCTGCTGGGCTGTTTCCCTGCTGCAGAGAAAAAGATCTGTGAGAAGAAAAGCTCTGCGGGGGTGTGGCAGGTTGAAGGGGACTCAGGCCCGTAGCCACTGAGAGGGCACCCAGATATATACAGCATTGTGGAAGGATTTGAAAGTGCCCTGGGATTAGGAAACTGCTGGCAGTTCTGTCACTGGAACCGACTTGTGAGCAGCTGAAAACAGTCTCTAGTGGCTTCACAACTGGGCCAGGGGAATCCTATAGCTGGGGCACCACCCACAAAAACACTCCAGGAAATTTCCCTTGGAACCATTTTAGGAATAATAAAAGCCATGTGTGTCTGCTCAGGCTGTGTATGTTATTGCTGAGCACAAACTTTCTGGCAGCATTTTCTGATGCATGCATACTGTAATAATTTAAAATCCATCAGTTTTATGGTCAAGACCAAACTTACAAGCTTCAAGGATTCCAGGACTTTTTTTTCCTAAGTCCTCACCTCAGATTCCGTTTCTTCAGTAGTGCTAAATCTGCTTGAGGATTTTCTTCCAGAAATCCTGCAGGAGTGGAAATAGGGTGAAGGTAAGCAAGGTCTGAATTGTAGGTCATGAAAGCCTTAAAAGTTTTTCTAAAAAGCAAAAGCGTGTTGATATTGTATAAAGCATCACCATCAACTCTGGTTCAGTAATGGCCGCGTGTGTGTGTGTGCGCGCGCGCGCGCGTGGGGGGGGGGTGGTGGTCGGCGGGAGGAATTCACATACCCTCTGCCTTTTGTAGCTAGCTCTGAGCCGCACTGTAGTTGACCCCAGTTGAAACTCAGAAAAAGGTGGTTCCTATCACCATGAAGGGTATTTCCTCCCAGGGTCTGTCTGCTTTTCCATTGGCACAGAAAGAGGCAAGTCTCCAAAGGGACTTTTATTCAGTTTTCATTCTTTGGGGGCTAACCTACCCTGCATGTTTATAACATAAGTACATACAAATCTGACAATTGCAGGCACTTTGAGTTGAGTTCATTCTAACACCGGTATGCTTACACAGCATGGAGGCAGCAGTGGTATAAAAATTAAAAACAGCACCTCATTAAGTAAACAGGTTCCCTTGAACCACTACACTGTAACTATGACTTTGTCTTAGTGATGGTCTGGGTGAATGAGGGGTGCGAGGGTCACTATGTACAGTTGTTCAGGTTCTGCACTGCATGGCTCGAGGGGGTTTCACTCACAAAGTATGTGAAGGGCACTGCCTGGAGTTATGCTTTGCACAACTGTGAGCAGTGGCTCTAAGGGATGCCACAAGGCCTTGCCTGTTGACAGGTGGGCCATGGAACCATCCTCACATCTTCCCTTGGCTTGAGTTCCTTCTGTTAAGCATTACTTCTTTGGTACATACAACACTTTTGAGCAATATCATCTCCAATAAGTCTGACTTCAAATGCTTGAGATTCTAAGCTTCTCTTTATCCCTCTCCCCAACCACATTAGCATCAGTTGGTTCTGAAGGTTAGTTTGATACGTTGGATCTGTCTCCAGGTGAGAGAGGTGACTCAGCATCAGGGTCCCGTAGCTAATGAAAACCCTGGGCAGGGGGAAGACGGTGGGTTTCAGAGTCTTCCATCTCCCCAGTCTAGTCAGTCGCCATTAGCAACAATAGCAATAGCCATCACTTGCTGAGTGCCAGGTACCTTGCTTTCTAAGTGCTTTTTGTGTATTGACTCTCCCAATGAGTTTGGTACTATTATTCTAACTTGAGGAATAATGGGAAAACACAGGGGGAAAGGGAAGCACAGAGAGGTCAAGCAACCTGGCCAAGGACACAAAACCAAGGTGCAAACCTAAATACTCCCCAGAGGCCATATTCTTAAACACTTCGCTGCACTATGGTAGTAAATAGTGGGTTCAAACTGAATGTGATCGCAGAACCTGAGGTTTAGCCATGTGCTACACTGTTGATTCTGCCTCCTAAATAGCTCATGAATACTAGACTTCTCTCCTACCTCCTTTGGCCAAGCTGCCATCATCTCACCTGGATTGCTGCACTACCCTTTTATTTGGCCTCTCTCCTCCAATCTATTCTCTAATTCATTCACTCTCAGTATTAGAATGATCTTTTAAAACACTAGAAAACTTTAAAAACACTCTGGTTAAAAAAGACTTAATTGACTTCCTGTTATACCTAAGAGTCCGAAATCCCTCGTAGAGCTGACAAGCCATAGCACAGTCTGGCCTGGCCCATCCCACCAGCCTTCCTCTGCAGGCCTATCTTACCCATTGCCAGTCCCTCTTCTAAGCTCCAGCAACTGTTCCTGAACTTGCCAAGGGCCTTTGCACACCAGGAAGATTCCTTAGACTAATGTTTTTTATTCTTAACCCATACTTCCCCTTGTTAGTTCATTCATGCGCCCCTGAACCCCCAAATTAGGTAATAGCACCCTATACACCCTCCCCCAACTTTGGCACTTATAAAGACTGGTTCCTGTACCGAAAAAGTAAGCTCCATGAGGACAGGCACATTAGTTGACTTTGTCATTATGTTCTCAACAACTAGCATAGCACCCTGCTATTGACACTCAAATATTTGTTGGATAAATGAATGATTGAAGTATTAGACCTAGGTTTGAATCCTAAGTAGCTCTACTCCCTATGAATCTAGGTGATCTTGGGCAGGCAATTTAATGCACTAAGAATATTGTATGCACCCTGCCAACGGGTAGCCATTTTTATTATCATTAACAAAAGACTTACTTTCCTGTTAGGGGCTCATGTTCATCTTGAGAGGATTTTGAATTCGTTCTCTGGGAACAGATCCGTTTTGGTTTTGAATGAGCTGAAAAATGTTAGCTAAGATTAAATTCAGATCATCAAAAATGATCCCCAAATGGTGGTATGTGGGTATCATTTCTTGAACTTTTCTATATGGATGAAATACTTTGTAAAATTTTAATCTAAGAGAATTAGGGAACATAGAAAACAAAGAACTTTCTATCAAGTATTCAGAGTTAAGGAAAAAAAGTACAACTTTTAAAAGGAGTTTTATAACCAGATAACAGACCAGGATTGAAAGCTCCCTGGGTGTTGGCTGTGTGTCCGTGGTATGTTGTCTGGCTCCTGTGGGCTCAACTACTACACTTGAAAAATGGAGAGATAGTATCTTTTAAGAGCTAGGACCAAATGGATTCCTGAGTCCTCTCCAACTTTAGGAGGAAGCATTCTAGGAGTCAGTCTAGGATACTAAATTATGTTGCTAAGACAATTCCAGAAAGTAGAGACTTCACAGAGGAGAAGATAAATGTAGGAAAGTCACCATGGACTACACGAAGTGAGCCAGGGAAAAGGAGAGAAAAGTCAGTGGCCAACAAATCCATCTTCTCTACCATCTTCTCTACCCTCCCCTTCTCTTTCCCTTCCTCCTCCTCTCTTCCCTGTCTCCTCTCTCTGCTTTCAGGCCTCCCGTCTTACTCGCTGGGCTGTAGTAGCTAGCCTCAGCCCCCCTCAGGAGCATCCCATTTGTCAGGGGAACGGGGAGAGATTGTCCCTCAGACACGAAAGGCAGGGCAGAAGCCAGAAAGTCCGAATTTAGTCATGCTGACCACCCAGACTTAAGTCATGATGAGTAGAGGCATTAAGGAGCTCAGTCTTAATCCTTTAATAGTCTCTAAATATAACTGTGGATTTTCTTTGAAACATAGGAGCTCTGAGTTGCCAAGGACCATAGGGCCGTCCAGTCTGACTCTAGTCCCATCTCCAGACCTACAACATCCTGACAAAGTACTGTACACGGGCTCCCCATCTCCAGAGGGGCTCACGACCTCCTGCCCACTCCACTTTCTATCCATTCCGATTGCTGGAAGGTTGGTTTTTTTTTTTTTAACATTGAGCAAAAGATGCCTCCCTGTGACTTCCACCCTCTTGGCCACTACACGTTTACTAATGGAGTTCAAGATCACATTTCAGATACGTAGTTGCTTTCCTCATTCATATATTGGAATAACAAATCTCATGGGCTATGTATCTAAAGACCATGGAGATAGAAAGAAATTCTCCTGTTTCTTCTTCAGAGGCTTAGTGACTGTCACTCAAGAGAATACATCCAATGAGAAGATTTGGCACCTGGGAGTGAGTAGGGGGAGGCACAGCTGAGGTCAGTCAAGTAAATGACATTCTTTAGTTTTGGATGTTTGTGATGTGAAAGGTTAAGAAACATTCTCCCTAGTGCCCGGTCTCCAGAAAGGAAGAGAAACAGCTCTTCAAAGTATGAGCTTACCCACAAGGTAGGGCATCAGAGAAACAGATATGGCTGCCGACCAGAAACAAGACAGGTGTTTCTTTCCCTCCTTTGTGTTCCCTGAGCACACGCTGACATTGTCACTAGCTCTTGTGGAGAAAGTGAAGGTTCCTGTGGACAGGATTTTCACCTGGCCCTGGTTGGTAAGCTCACTGCACATGTGTGGGCAATGTGTCATTATTGACTATATAAAGAGCCCTGCCCCAGTGCTCTGGGTGACACAGTGGCAAGGCAGCAAGGCTGCAGGAGAGCAGAGGCTGGAGTGGTGGCTGCCCTGAGGACAGAGGCCCAGAGGAGGGCTGTGCCGGCAGAGAGGCCCAGAGGCAGAGACCAGCTTGATGTATGCAGACTTGCTCTGAGTGGATGGGATTCTAGTGATTGACCTGCCACCATGGGAATAAAGTTGGGTATAACCCTTTCACCCCAAGAACATTCAGCTACCATTCTTTGGACTCATAGAATCCATAGTGAACTTGTCCAGGGCTGAAACCCATTGGCAAGACAGCATTTAACCACATATTGCTCTGAACCTTTCTTATTTGGGTATGAGTTCCTTTCTCTCAAAAGATTGTAAACCCCTTGGAAGGAGGAACCATATGTTATTCATCTTTGTAGATAAATGTAGGATTTTAATTTTTTCCAAAGACAGAAAAATTTTGCATTGAAATTAGTAATAGTTAAGTAGTATAAAATAATCTATTTCTTTACAGGCTGAACTTTAGTAGGGATATAGTTACAGCTTTAACCACTCCTGAGCGATAACAGCCATAGTGGTGATTATTCAGTCGGTCATTTATTCAGCAAACATTTATGATTTGTTACCAAATTGCACTGGTAGAACACTTAATAACTTTCAAAATTCTCTCTTGTTAGGATTTCCTCTCCCCCAGCCCCAGCCAGCCTCCTGCTGTCCAGGTGAAGGGCTGGGTGGGAAAGAGTCAGAGTGCTGGATATCTGGGCAGCAGACTGCAGAGGGCAGGTGCCCCCCCAATGGAGGCAGGGTTCCCCAATGGAAGCAGGGACAATGTGATGTGGGCCTCCCACATCTGGGGCACTAAGATGTTTACCAGGATGAGATCATGCAGGAGATGTACTTACAAGGTGACAAATTTTTATTTTCATTTAAAAAGTGGAGCTGGACAAAGGCACTTCTTTCACTGTAATCTAAGTAATACTGTCCCGGGGCATCATACCTATAATGAAATTCTAAAAAAAAAAAGATTAAAAGTACAACTCATTGTCTGGGAACAGCTGTCCCATCTTAGGCCTTCTTTCTGAGGCTCCCCAGTCCCTCTCACCATTAGCTGCTCTTTACTGCAGACCCTTCGGGAATTAGAAATCCTAGTGCCACACTTCTCCCATTTACCACTCTGCAGTCCAGACCCAGAAGCAAAATAGCAACTGTGTCCTGTATCAGAACCTGAAAAAGCCCCAGTTATACCACGAAGTGTGACTTCCTTGATTATAGTCATAAAATGTGTGGAGAGTAGAGCTCTAGCCAAGAAAGGAATGCATTAGACACCAAAGTGTTCAGCTTCCCCAGCTGTGTTACCAAGGGGAGTTGCCAGCCCAGGGGTGACATTTAGGATCCCCTTCTCACAATGGAGAGATGTTTTGATAAATAACAGTTCTGATATAAAAGTCTCAAAATTCGAGTGACTTGCTTCTAACAGATAAAATGGTAGGGAGGGTGTTAACTTCCAAAACTAGGTCATAAAAGACATTGAAACTTCCATCTTGGTCTTTCTGTTGGATCACTCGCTCAGGGGGAAGCTGGCTGCCATGTCGTGATGACGCTCAAGCAGCCAAGTGGAGAGGCCAACATGGCAAGGAGCTAAGACCTCCTGCCAATGGCCATGTGAGTAAACCATCTTGGAGGCAGATTCTCCAGCTCCAATCAAGCCTTCAGATGATGGTAGTATTGGCCAACATCTTGACTAAAGCCTCACAAGAGACCTGGAGCCTGAACCACCCAGCTAAGTGCTCACAAATTCCTGACCTGTGAGATAAAAATGCATATTGTTTTGAATCATGAAGTTTTGGGATACTTCACTATACAGAAATGGATAATACACAACTCTTTGACCCTGGCAAGTCTCTGTTTCCTTATATATAAAATTAAAGTAATACTTCCTACCTTATAAGGATGGTATGATAATGAGATGATATATGTCAACAGTTCTCAAACTTTTGATTTTAAAATGCTTTTACACTTTTAAAGTTGAGGACCCTAAAGAGCTTTTGCTTATGCTACCATAGATCATAATATATGCCATTTTTTATACATACTTGTGGTGAAAATCTTCCTTTGCAGTCAGTCAGCTGAAGATGGATAGGTAGAGAGGTATCTATTTATAAATTTCAAATCATTTTTGCTTATGCAGAATCATTCGGATTTTCCCAAGACTGAACAAACAGTCATGAGGCTCTGTATGTATATGTAATTTCAAACTGAGACATTTGAAAAATATTTTACTATGTCATTTAAAAACAATAATACATTTCATTTCACCAAAAAAACATGTTTTTAATGCAAAATAGTTATTTTGAACATTAAAAAAAATACAGGAGTGGCAGGGTTTTATGCTTTGGCAAATCTTGAATATTTGGCTTAATAGAAGGCAGCCGGATTCCAGAATTGCATTTCCATTTAATCTGTTGCAATACTGGCCTTGCACAGACATATAGCTAGAAAAGAGAGGACCTTAGGGTACCCCCGAAAGGGTCATAGGGACGCCAGTAGCCCTCTGACCACACTTTGAGAACCTCTGCTCTGCTACAGCATCTAGCATAAAGTGTTCAACTGATGAAACCTATTATTAGAAAATGTATCATCCACAGATAGCAATAGAACTAAATGTGACATAACAGGAAGAACACTAAGCTAAAGGAAAGGTGGGTAGCCCACAGCGAGCAGACCCCATGGAGAGGGACCCTTAAGACTGAGTGCGCATAGCCCCAGGACCTTCAATTTACTGAGAATTGAATCTTGATGCAGTGCCTTTTCCTGAATGGTAATGGGGCACCTTCCACAGCTGTTCCTTCTGTGGCTTTTCTCCACTTTTTCCCCCCTAAAAAAGTGCATAAGATCCCATAAGCTTTCAGCACACTTCTAATAGAGGAAGAGTATTGGTAAAAATAAAACTAAAATGTTAAATTTCTTATATGAGAGCCTGGAGCAATGTAGGAAAGGCATGTCATCCTCCACACAGGTCCCCTCGACCTGTCTGAGAGCTCCCCTCCAAGACATGGCCCCAGCACGATTTGGCCGAATAAGAATATGTATACCAAACATTAAATCTGTTTTGTTCCCCAGAGGATGATAGCTAATCATCACAACACATATAAAACACAGAAACTTCAAGTTTGGAATGATAACATTTGGAGTTCATGTCTCAGAGTCAATTCTCATCAGGGGAAGCAGCTATGCCATACATCAGTACCAGGTCACAGAGCTTTGGCCCCAGACGTACAAGGTGAATGTGTCCAAAAGTCCAGCAAGGTGAATTTCGTCCCTTGTCTATGGGGCTAAAGGCTGTGGGAGCATGTGGGGTTAATTTTACCTGTACAAGTCCACCAGGGGGCATCTTAGAGTCATTTACCAGGACTCTTCCTCTGAACTGTCTGCAGTTTCAGCCTACCTCCTTCCAGGAAGTTCTACCTCCTCCAAAGGAATTTTAATTAACCATTATTTGCAAAGCTCTTGCTCAGTCCGAGGGGTACAGTAACAGCCCCTAGGGTTACAGTGTGGAGGGCACTGTGTGCACGATGTCCGTATACCCTGTATGCAGCGGTTGGGCAGGAACGAGTCTGACCCGTCCCCATCCCGAGGGTAGAGCCTCTGGCGTCGCTTGGCAAATGCACTCGGCAAATGCACTGGGGGCCAGCTGCGCCCTGGCCAGCTGCTGGTGGGGAGAAGCGACGTGCCTGGAATTTGTGGGATTGTGGGCTGAGAAGCCAGGCCCTTTCCCTCCTCTTGGAAAAACATACTCTCCTCCTGAGTCCCATATTTTCTCACACCTCATTTTCTGTCCCCACCCTCCTCCTCTGGGGCATTTGAACATCTGCTGTCCAAAGTGGAAACCTGGATCTCACTCAAGTGAAACTCAGGCCAACACATGACTTTCTTTTTTTCTGCCTCTTTGAAGCTTCTTTGTGCACTAAAATCTTCTTGCCAAACATAACAGCTAAGGGCAATTCTACTTGAGAAGACAGTTTTTCAACAAGACAAAGTAGCTGAAGTGTACTCGTAATCCAAAATTCTGCATCAGAAATAACACAAAGGGATAAGCAATTTACATGTCGCACATATATATATATGTATAAAATTTATCTGCATATGTAAAAATATCCTTTAAACAGTATATACATCAGCAAGCTTCATAAAGAACATGTCCCATCTGAGAGAGATCTTCTAAAAGAGTAAAGAGGAGATGTGTATATATATATATACACACACACATATATAGCCCTCTATTCAACTAATTTCTCGGGGGTTCTGTAGTTTACCAAGACTTCAAGTTATAAATCATGTACATCTCCACATCACACCCTAGCAGTAGCTTGACTGTTAAATCTAATTTTATACTCGTGCTTTCCCTTCCATCTTGTCCATCATAAAGGACAAAATTTACTCTGGAATATTGATGTCTGTCCTCATACTTAAGTGATTCTGTAGGGTTTAGACTGGGAATTTGGAAGAGAAACATTTAGTACCTTGAATGCTTAATCAAAATGTTTTTTAAATGTCAAGCTATTTTTACTATACTTAATAAAATCTAAAAAAATCAGAAATCTAAATTTTAATCCAGTAAATAAAAATAGTGGGTCTGGAATAATTCAGGGAACAGGCATCACTGGTGCTCCCTGTATTTAAAGGATAGTCAAAGCTGATGACTGACATACTGGTTTAAAGCCCTGGTCTGCACCAGTTGACACAGTAATTTTTAGCACAAACACCATGCTGTTTCTTCTGCACCAGTTGACACACAGTAATTTTTAGCACAAACACCATGCTGTTTCTTTCTTTAGGGGGTGGAAACTCACTAGAACACTTATGACAAGTGCCTGTTCCCCTTGTGGAACACTTTGTAAAAGGAAGCTTCAGTCTTCCAGACCTTGTCATTTGCTGCTGTTAGAGTCCTTTGTGTACACGTAATAGCGGCTGTGAACAGCTCCTCCCTCCTTGACTCTTGACCTTTCAAAGGTAAATGAGCCAAGCCTTGGCCAGAGACCACAGGATCTCCTGAGCTTAGAGGTAGCGACTCTTGCTAACAGACAGGAACTTCAGATTTCAAACATCCCCCACCCCTGGTGAGGCAGATGTAGTAGCTGTGGAGAGGCAATTTACATGTTTATATATAATTTATCTGCATATATATATTATATATATATATATATAATATATATAATTTATCTGCATATATAAAATATCCTTTAAACAGTATATACATCAGCAAGCTTCATAAAGAACATGTCCCATTTAAAAATCTCCTTGGTGACTTTGGAGCTCTCCCCAGTTGAGAACCACCAGGAGGGAGATTTATAAAGAGAGGGGGAGGCTGACTATGTGTCAACCCTGAGGTCTGTGGTTCTATACTTTGGCCAGTGGCTTCTGGCACCCTTTCAGTTAGCTGAGGCCTACTCTCACCGAAGATACATCCCACCCTGGGAATTTAGCAACAAGAAGCCCTCACCATTCAAGGACCCGGTGGTAAAAGGCACAGCCTGACCTGGTGGTCTCTGCACGTGTCTCCTGTCCCAAGGCGTTGCTGGGATCTGCCTGCACCACAAAGCAAAGCACACACAGATGTGGATGTGACTGAGGAGGTGACTCATCCCAGCAGCTTGTGCACAGCCTGGCCAGCAGCTCGGGCTGGGCCACACTCCCCACTTCGGGGCTCCCTCATTCTGATTTCTGGTTCAGTGAGGTCTGTGCTGCAATGGCCTGAGGCTTGGAGAAAGCAAGCTTAGACACCAGCTAGACTTCTTTCCTTCTCCAAACATTTAAAAATCTAATTTACAGATGAGAGAATACTTTTCTCTCTTTTTCTTTCCTTTAGTTTAAAATTACCCCCAGTTCCACCAGAGGATGAACAGATTTAAGAAGATGAGTTTTAGGTCAGTCTTATCACTAGTGAGTAAAGCTCTAAAGCTTTTCCAAAGAATTGTATTAAACTGAATTAAAACATGGTTTAGGGACCATCTAGAGGCCTAATTATTGCTTATGTCCCTTTTAAACAAATTATACTACTGAACTGAAAGGGCTAACATCATCCAGTGTGGGTTTTTTTTACTATAGCTTTACCTTTTATATAAAACAGAAAACAAACATGTTTTTCTCACCACTATAAACAATGCTGGCTTAAGCATCATTGTACAGATAGTTTTTTTCCATATTTTGCATTATTTCCTTAGGGAATGTCTGGAACAAAGGTTGCAAGCATGTTTGCATGATGATACATGTTGCCAAATTGCTTTCTACGAAAGTTATATGAGTTACACAGCCTCCGACAATGTGGGTGGCTCAGTTTGACCACACATTCCTCTGCATCAGGACTTGTCACTTTAAAATGTTTTTGTTAATTTAAGAAGAGGGGGTGCTAACTTGTGTTAATTAACATTCCGCCTGTTATTAAAGAAGATACACATTTTCTCAAATCATTATTTATTGGTTGTTTTTCCTACTTGAGACTAATAGTTCATATCCGTTTTCCATTAATTTCTTGGAGGATTTCAGTGTTTTCTTATTTATAAAAACAACCATTTATTGCTTGTTCATTGTGCCAAGCCCTTCTCATACAGTCTCCTTTATTCCTTCCCATGATCTTGGCACACTGTCCCCATTTTAATGGTGAATAACAAATCTGAGGCTCAGAGAATTTAAGCAGTTTGGCAAAGTCACACAGAGTTAGTTAAGTGGCAGAGCTGGGACTTGAACCTTTTACCCTGAATGCTTGTGCTCCTAACCACAATTTCACTGCTCCTTTGTGCACATGTCAGGGCATTTTGTATGATAAAAATCTCAATACTGACCATTAGTTGCTTTTAATATTTTCCAAGTTGTCTGCCTTTTTTTTTTTTAATGACTATGGTTTTGGTTTTGCAAGCATTTGTTAAAATGTTGTCAAAGAGGTGATGGAATGGCTAAAAAACATATGAAAATAGGTTAAATTTCACAAATAGTAAAAAAAAAACCACATTAAGATAGTAAGATGCCAAAATTTCACTTATCACTTTAGCTAAGGTTGGAATGAAAAAAAAACATATACCTGTATTGCTCAGGGAGGAGATGCCTCTATCCCCACACTCTGCTGTGGCCCGTGAAGGGCACCCCCTTGTTAAAAGCCAGTTTGTCAGAGTTTTCAATGTGTACATTTTGAACCATTAACTGCATTCTTAGCCTTCTAGTCAAAGGAAACAATCAGCTATGGCCGAAAGTTTATAAAATAATAAACTATATATACTTTATAAAATGATAAACATATAAAATGATGTTACTGAAGCAGTGTTTATAATATGAAAGAACTAGGCAAAATGAAATGTCCATTAGTAAAAGGGACTGAGTAAATGAACCAGAGAACACTATATAGTGAAATGCAATGCAGTCCTTAAGAATGAAGCTGTAGGTTTATTCTGTGACTGTTGAGATGCCCACAATGTAATGTTAAATGAAGAAGCAGATCATAACACAGTACATATAGAACGACCTCATTTTTGCAAAAAATGTGTATGCAGAGAAAAAAGACTGGACAGATATACACTAAAATACTAGTGATTTTTTTTCTCTCAGGAAAATGTTCTTTATACTTTTCTCTATTTTGCAATTTTTTTTTTGCCATAAGCATATATTGCTCTTACAACTTAAAAGATAAAGTTTGTGCCTCCTTTTTTCTCCTGTGTTTTCTTTGATCACTTCTAGGCCTATGGGGATCCCCTTGCACTTCACATTTAAGGCAGATTTACCTTAGCAGAATGTAGGAAGGTGCCCTCCACCTGAGTTGGGAGACTTGGGATCCGACATGTCCAGTCACTGGCCCTGAGCAAATCCCACCTTTCTAAGCACCCAACT